CGCACAGCAAATGTTTTCATTTATTTCCCGTGTTATCAGTCCTACTCTGCATATTTTAGCCTATTGCTTTTGACAGTGATGAAAGGCAGGTATTTCCTGACCTTTTGTATTTCGGGTGCTACATGAGTTCAGCTGTTCATTTCAAGAATATTTTCTTCTTCTGTCTTGTTCCTGTTTTGTCATTTTGAAGGTAGCGCTAGAAATTCCAGGTGCAATTGCAGTCCTTTTGGAATAGCAATTTAAGTTTTGTGGTTGTGTATGTGAAAAAGGAACTTGGCCATACAAAAGAAAGGTGGACATTCTGCTGCTGGGCTTGAGTATTTGTAAGGGTAGTAGCTCTTGGATGAAAAAGAGATCTTGTCAATTTTCTGTCACTTTTTACTTGGAAATTGTCCATAATTGTTGTTTGAAGAAGGCAGAATTGTCCTTAATTGTTGTTTGAGGAAGGCAGAAGTCAAGAACTGTTGGACCAACAGATGGAGATAATCTAGCTAAACTGTATGGTCTGTGCCTTTATGAATATGAGGTTGATCCCTACTCTAATTCAGGTGTTTTATCCAGTTTATTATTTGCCAGTTATTTGTAGTTACTGCATCACTTACATTTGTCCTCATAAAGAGTAGAAATTGAGTGCCCCGAGGCAAGATTTTCTCAGTTGAGCATGGAAATGAACTGGCCATGCTTTTGAAAGCATTTCCATGTAGCAGCCCTTGTGCCTGGTGTTCTGAAAAGATCTTTGGCTTTGTGGAAATCTGCATCTTGGTGTGAAACAGCATAAAACGTGTCAATGACGCAAGTCTCTGTGTACTGTATTGTGTTATTTTTCAGGGGTTGTTAGGTAATGTTCTGTACCTTAGTTTGTGGGCTGAAGTGAAGCTGACTGATAGAGCCCGTTGATGCTGTAGGATAAAGCTCTTCAGCTTATTTAGCAGTTAACCTCAGGGAGATTGTTATTATTTTTGTAGATCGTATTGTATGTTTCTGACAGTTTTTAAAGATATCATATGCTCTGCTGTTCCATTAGCATGAAAAATAGTCAAGAAGTCTCAGGGGGTTTAAAATGCTTTTTCTACAATATCTTTCTCACGGAGATTGATTAAGTTTCTAATTAGAGATGTATCAACTTCGAATCCACTGAAATTTAAAAAGGCTGATGTATGGTGAGACAATTCTAGAAGGTTGTTTAATCTTATGAGCAATTTTTGGTTGAGTTTTTTAAATATATATAGTTTTCAGAGGGCTTCTTTGGTTGGAAAGTGGTGTTTGAGTAATGGAAAGTTTCAACAGCTGAAATGCTATTAAAAGGAAACCAAATTTATTTAAACAATTTTATTTATTAAATAATATGTTCTCAGACAGCTAATAGAATTGTACTTGCAGCCTTCCCCCATGCTTTTTGTCTTTGAAAGACAACTTATTTTGATCTGACCTAAAATGTTAATGAAATTATATCTCCTTGTGTTAGTTGCCTGAAGCCAAGTGTCACAGCTTTTCAGTGGTGTTTGGAAAGTTGTATATCACTGAATTTGAAAGGTACAAAAGTCCTGTGGTTGGCCTCAGCATTAAAATATATAGACACTTCTGCTTTATGAGGCTGTAAACCAGATAATTCATCACTAGTGGGGATCTGGAGGTAGCCGTGGGCTTTTAAAGAACAATATGTTATATTACAAATTCCTTTGGAGGGGGAGTGGGGTTTTTTTAGGGATTTCTGGAGAATGGGTGCCAATTATGAAGATGTTGTGCACCTAATAAACCATATATTTACTTGTTTGGTTTGTTTCTCTGTTTTGTTTTCCTAAAAGTCTGAGAGCATTCAGATCTTCTGTCATAATAACAATAACAAGTACTATTGTCTCTTCAAGCACAGGAGGGGAGGGAAAAAACGATTTATTTTTTTCTTAAATAGGTGAAATGTTCTCACTGCCTGTTCAAATAAATGATGGTGTGTCTACGGTAACACACACTTCACATGAACAGCAGTGCAGCTGTACTGATGCTGTTTGCCCAAATAACAAGAAATGAGAAGGAAAAGGAGGATGACAAGGGAGATATGTTCAGGAGATTGGCATTGTGGTATGAACAAATTTACTCTGTGGCTTTATGGGGAAGGGGGGCTCATTACAGGATGCTTGATGTGTTTGCTGCTTTTTGATATTATGAAAGCATCTTTAGTGATCCTTTTTGCAAACCAGCTCATGCAGTAACTGGCAAAACAGAAGCAATTAGTGGTGTAATCTCAAAGGGAATCTCAAGCTTCACTTTAAGTGCAATGATTAAATCCACTAAAATGATAACCATTGCTGCCAAGAACTCCTGTAATTGGTCACTAATGTATTTTGTTGTAGCAGTCAATAACTACTAGATTTCAGGCATGTAATTAGTAATGCATACACGTTTGGTCAGTAAAATTGAAAATCCTAATAACCGAGGCTGGAGGGGGCAGAAAGGAACACAGAGCTGGAGAACTGAAATAGCGCTCTGTTGATAGTACCTAACTAGAACTGTATGCTTCAATAAAACAAGTGTCCTACTGTGCTGGAATACAAATGGGCTGTCTGTGGCAGGATATAGCAAAGACGTTTGGCAGAGAGGGATTTGAAAGCTTCTGGCATAATGTAATTGAATTGGCCATTTCTTTAAAGATACAGCAAATTGTTTGCTGCAGCATTCATCATCATAAGGAAGGTCAGACAGCTTGCCAAACATATGATATTCATAATAAAAAGTAAAACGGTGACGCTTATATTTAAACACAAATCATATTATCATATTTGTAAAAGCTGTGGAAATGAATGGGAATATTTTGGTGGCGCTGAGGCATTAGTAATTTAAGTAAGATTGTAATTCAAGAGGGGAAAAGCTTATAGTCAGGGAAAAGACCCCCAGGGGACTTCAGCTAGTGAGCAACATATGATCCCCCTGATTTGCGAGGATAGTGGGTGTTTTGGCAGGAGTATTGCTGACTCTTATTTCTGATCACTTAAGAGAAGACAAGCTTATGTCATCCTATTTTTTCCCCTTTTAAGAAGACAAAGGGGAAAATAACAAAGAAGAAGGAATTAAGTGTTCAAAAAGAGACAAAATCTAAACTGAAGCATTGCGGGTGTTTGTTAGAATCGGTTATGTTGTGACAGAACAAGATGATGCAACATGCTGTAGCATATCTGAAATGTTATATGAAATGCTCAGTAGCAGTACACTGGGAAAACCCTCTCAAGTCACATCCAGAACGCTGAACATAAATTGTATGATGACAGGGGCTTTGGGCCGCACAGTGATGCCTCTGCAAATGAGGAGCTGTTAGCTTTTGGGTTCTAACGCATTCAGGAGACTGGCATTTTGATTTCTTGCACCACTGCACCACTGATAGGGTTGGAAATGGGAATCAAAATAATTAGATTGGATATATAGATCCCTGCAAACCAGCCAAGAAAGCGGCGAGGGGTGGGGAGAGCCACTTTCGATTCTAAAACGTGCCTGTGCTTTTTTTATGAGAGGGTGAGGACGGAAGATGTAAACTGGAGTGCAGATGCTCACCATTTATATTCAAAGCATGTAATAAAATAATTGAATATATGCTTCCTCCCATTAAAGCCTGTTAAAATCAGTAATAAAGTACATTAGGATTATATTAAAAGGCAGCTAAATTTTTGGGGCAATATATCTCAGTTACAGTACCAGAGAGGTACTGTACAGAGATAGGCAAACTGGGAACCGTTCTTATACATCACCTGAGGCATTATGCCTTGCGAATTCAGGATTGTTTCCATCAGTACATTTGCCATTATTTTGTCCAGCAGTACCTTTGCAGTATGCCCTCTAGCAATTTTTCCACAGGCCAACAGTTGTTCTTCTCCAGAACAACGTCTTCTTGCTAAGTCACTCGCCATTTTCCCTTTTAAAAAAGACATCCTTCCCTTTATTCCCGAGTTTCCATATCTGATAGAAAATGCCCTCCTTTTTCTGCTATGCAGATTCCTCCATCGGGTATTTGTAAACTATTACCCCCCCCCTTTTTCTTATTTTGTCATTTTTCACCTGCACAAATAGCTCTTTGCAACACCTAGTCAATGCAACAGTCTAGTAAATATTGAGTACAGGTCCGAAATAGCCTAGTAGTTTCTGTGCTCATCAGTGACCAGAAAACCAGGTGTCCAGATCTGTCTCTGCCAATCCTATATGATAATAACACATGCTTGAGTATTTGCCCACTTTTGCAGAAAGCTGTCCTGTGTCGTGTCCTGAAAACAGTAGCTGGATTTGCAAGCAAAATTCAGCAGTTCTTACCTTGGGTTTTAATCACTGGAAAAATGCTGTGGTGAGCAGTTTCTGAGCATCCTTGTTTGGAACTAAATGCCAGCATTTTTTCTCTGTCTGGTCCCCTGCTCCAGGTCTCCAAGCAGTTTTAAAAGTTAGTTTTCTTACTATGCTCCTCAGTTCATTCTTTCACATTAGGCTACTCAGTTATAATTAAAGACAGTAATGAGGAACAGCAAAGTGATCTTTTCTTCCTGATCTGCAACCCATAATATCTAAAGCTCCTTCAAAAGTTTTCACTTGTGTACCTCAAGGTGTACTGCATCATATTGTACAACTTGCATCTAACGCCACCATTCAGTGATTTGGCCAAAAGTAAATACAGAGTTTTGGTATATGATTGCAAGATAACAAATAAACGGTGTATTTGTGCTATCCATATGGAATGAATGATGTGTAAATACTGTGGAGGTGCAGCAAAGGTGCAATGTGTAGGAGCAGCACTCGTACTTGACAGCTGGAATTCAGGCCATTTGGGGAAAGAGTTTGGGAGCTCTGGAGGAGCTCATCTTCCTAGTAGGAAAATGGTGTAATCCAATCTGTTTTGTCAAGTAGAGACTGAAATTGAGAAGTAATCATCATCTGGTAATGAGCATGTGAAGATGTATGACATGAGAAGGGTCTCCTGTTTGGAAGATACGGAAATAAAAAGACGCATTGGAAATAAACTAACGGTAGAGTTCAAACAGGAAACAGATTCTGCTATTCCCCCAAAATTTGTAGCTATTTAAGTTGGTAAATTGTTGAAATTGAGATGAGGAATTCATCATTAGCTGACATTTTTGCATCCCATTCAGATTAATTTCTTAAATACAGATTTCTTTCAAAGTTATTTTTAATGCAAAAATTGCATCTTTGAGTTAGAAAACAAAACAAAACAAAACAAACAAACAAAAAACTCGCATTACTGAGGAAACCCAGTTATATAATACTGGTCTCTTTTGGTCTTTGTGCTTCTGAGGGTCTTTCACTTAGAGGTTGTCTCCATATATACGCGAATTATTTAGCTGAGGTGACGGCCATATGTTTCTGTGGAAAGTCACCACACAGTCGTCACTGCACAAAAAAAATGAAGAAATAATTCAGTAATTTGTCCTGCTCCTAAAATTACCGCTATAAGTACTGATGTCCAAAGTTTACTTGAATGTTTGGCACTTGTTCAGCACTGATGTTTCACATAAAGAATTCGAAAAACTGTTGTGGTTTTTATAAGTTTTCCCTCAACCTTTATCTACAGTGGAATGGGCTGGCAGTATTACAGACTCTCTAAACAACATTTTATTTATGGCAATAATTCTGTAGAAGAATAAATCCCACAGAGAATTGGAAGAAAACAGGGAATGAGGTATCTTGGCTTTTTCAGATTGATAACATGCTGAATGTGAATGAATGCAAATGTGACTGACTTGAGCAAAGAGACCAAATGAAATACCTTGCACAGGTTCCATAATGTCGAAGAGGACTGACACATTTGATCACCCATATTTTGATTACCACCGTTCAGTGAATTGTACTTTACACTGGCTGTGATAACAAGGCAGTGCGTTACACAGGTAATGTTTTCTATACCTGTTAAAAGTGTGAAATGCTATTCAGTATTTCCCTTTCCAATGTATCAATATCCTTCTATGGTATGAATTTGAGTAAAGGAAGCACCTTCAGCACCCCAGTATGGTGTTTGTTTTGTCAAGAGACTTGCAGACAGCTTTAATTCTGTATTTTAAGTGTTTAAAATAAAACGATACAAACATCAGGATGTGCCACATACCTAATTGATAGTACTGTAACTCAGAGCAAATCAGGCAGTTTCTTCCTTATCATGAAGGCTTTTCTGTGCATTTTATCTTATGCTTGGTTATTGGAACCATGCTTAGTTTATATTAGAAGAAAGCTTCTACCATTGTCTTCAGAATTAATTATGTTCCATGAATATCTTACTCAAGTTATATCTTCAAACTTTTCACTGCCAATGCACGTGAGATGGGACTTTGTCTTTTGCTGTACAACTAATGAACCCAGCTCTTCATTACTTCATGTTGACCTTGCTTTGAAAGCTATCTGAAAATATGCAAACGCATATGCAAATTCTTTTGCTTTTTCTGATCTCTTAAGTGAATATTTAGAAACATGGCAAATGATCTTCTCATGTGAGGTCATGTAGAATGGTGTACATTCTTAGTTTCTTTCTAAACTGGTGGAGGAATTTCATTTATGCACAAACTTAGCTGTAAAGAGATGCATACAACTTGTTACTTAAAAACATAGATAGGATGGCTGCCTGGGACTCAATTTTACCAAAGATGTAGAAAATGTTTGTTTGTTTGTTTGTTCTTGAAACAAAAACATGTTATCCTAGGGGGATATGTTTTTGAAACTTGCTTTGTTACTGTAGTGGGATTTTTAGACTTCTAAAGCATTAGTTAGTTGTTAAAGGAACAATACCTTTCTCCTGCCCATGGATTGTTTAGAAAAAAATTAGGCTTGTTTAGGAAATGATAAGTGACAGCCCTAATATATTACCCTCCCTACCTGGGGAAGTGCTTCCCTTATTTTTCTTTTCTATGCCCCTCTCCAGGAACAAAAGCAATACAAAAATGCAGATGTTGAAAGGCACGAAAATGTGTTTAAAGTATTTTCCTTCTGTCTTGGAACAATGGTTGCTGACAGCAGAAGGCTTGCTTGCTTGTTAAAATTAGATTTGAATCATCAGTGTAATAGCTGTAGGAAATTGTAGGATGGAAGGATGCCAGGAAGCCTATCTATATCTACCCTTGCAGTAAGTGTAAGGTGGTCCCTGAATGACTTTGGCTGGTTCCTCAGTTGAGTAAGCTTGCTGTAAATGATGAATTATGGAAACTGCTTTAAGCATCCTTAAGATAAAATATTTTGTACCTGAGCAAAAGCTATTTAGGTGGGGTGCCGAGAAGAGACACAAGGCTTTATCAACAAAGCAAGATTGCTGGTACAATTTAGGCTTCTTGAGCGCATGTTCTTGGTTCTTACATCTCCCTTAAGCGGGCCCAAGCTCTTTGCCTCTCACCATTTGCCTGCACTAAGATAAAAAATATATATATCTGTGTTTGAGGGGTTGGTTTACTGGGCTTTAATGATCTTAAGTACCCTGAGAAGTTTTCATGAGCCAGCTGTGAGTAAAGTAGGGGACTGTGCCCTCTCAGAAGCTGTGTCAGAGCCATGATCATTTGGCTTTCTCTGTTTCTCCTCAGCTGTTTTAAGGCAGTCCAGCACCCAGTTGTTTCCTTGCTGTAGTTGTTATCCACTGGCTTTACAGTAATCCAATCTGGAGAAGACAGTGACCTCTCTATGCACCTTAAAGCCATTCACAGAAATGGCTGTAATTCTGCTGATGCAGAACACAGCTGCCCATTTAAATCTTTTTTTTTTTTTTTTTTGCTTTCTTGCAGAGGGTCTGGTTATATCTCTGCTGTGTACTGGCTTCTATTTCATTCCTGATGTGGTTTTTGTACTATTTCCATAAGCAGCTTGGTTCCTGATTACTTCAGGGAGTGCTTTACGTGATATAATGGTAATTGATATCAGCTGAAGTGCTAAAGCTACCAGTCTCTAATTTAAATTAGTGCCAATTTGAGATGGGAGGACTGAAAGCAGGATTGTGCCTGAGAGAGGCCCCTGCTTTTAGAAATTATTTAGTTGGTTCTCATAGCAGAGTAAGAATTTTCTGACCTTCAGGTCGTGTGGTTATTCTTTTCCTGGGTGGTAAAACAGAATCAAAGTGGTCGTGAGGGATGATCAAGGGGGAATTTCAGTTTAAGTGTTTAATGATGTTCAGTGCGTTACTGTTCTCTTCATCAGTGCTATGGATGCAATCAGACATATTTTAAAATAAATCTACATAAATAACTGGCTTATAATAATGCAGCATTGGTTTATATCTTTTTCTATCATTTGTTTATATCTACTCCATTTAACACTCTCTCTCTGTATTGTATGTATGTATGTATCCATCTGTATATATTTGGAGTTTATATATACAGTTATTTATTTTACTGAGACATAAGCAGTTCTACAGCTGGACTGTATCGTTTATAGGTATTATTTAATTGTTAGCAAATATTTGGAAGGCACAGGACCACCACAGTTTCGTGAGACTGGTATAGCAATCTTTGACAGTATACCCAAGAGAAAATTGAAAGCGTTGCCTGAGCTCACGAGGCCGCCTTGAGTTGACCTGCTCGTGTGTTCAGTTTATAGATCGTAAGCTGTGCTCCTGCCCGTGTACCAACTGGAAGAGAAGCGGGTTATGTGGGAGATTGTGCTGGAAGTTACTAATGTATTTATGGCTGAAGAAATTGTTGGGGGTTGTACTGTTGTTTTGCCTGGAGTCCTTACAGGGCAGGTAGAGTGATGTCCTGTCAGGTAGGCTTTGGGTAACCCATGTGAAGGTGGTTTGGTGGTTTGCACTGTTCCACTTGAAGCTTCTTCTGCTAAGTTGTTTCCAGAAACAGAGCTCAAGGTGTTTTGTGGTTGTTTTTTTTTTTCTCCCCTGTACATTGAGTTCATTATTTATCGTCATATCTTTGATAATTAATTCAATTGCTTGTCTTTTTTGTAGTCATATTTATGGACTGTTGTTTGCCACGTTTGTGAAGAGGAGGACAAGAGCCATTACTTTTAGTATCCTAGTTACTTGAATTACCTAGAGCTTGGTCTTTTTCTTGAGTGTTTTTCCGATATATGTTTATAAAAGTAAGTCTAACCTAGTCTGTAAATGTAAGTGAAACTTAGTATATTAAGATTCTCATGGCCTTACTACTTACGTTATTGTTCAACTCAGCACATTGTAATATTGCGCATCCTCTTAATCATTCTGTTAGCCAGTATCATCTTTAAACATATTCCATGTCCCCATGGTGTCTACCTACCATCTGTTACTTTATCCCATTAGATTTCCACCAGATTTCCCATTTTCTCTCCAGCGTACCATGCTGAAAAAAACTCCTTATAGTTTCCCTCATTGATCTCCCAGTTTAGTCGTAATTACACAGCTAATCAGATTATGGTGACTTTTTCTATTTCTCAGCACCTTGTACTTTCCAATTAGACCAAAACCATACTACAGAACTGCTTTTGTTGTTGTTTGGTTTTGGTTTTGTGTATCTGGAGGCTATTCTCTTCATTTCTACACTCAGGTATTCATATGCATGCCGAATGAGTGCACGTGGTTCTTTTAAGCACAGTTTTCTGTTCAGCTCATTTTATGTGGTAGGTATAAAGACTTACTTGGGGGTCTCGTTCTTCACAACTGCAGCATCTGTTCATGGAGGAGGGATGGCACAGCAGGGGCAGGCTGCTGCTGCCCCTGGCTATCTGTCCTTGTGCCCTTCGCTTTCTTCTGTGGGCAAAGGGGAGCCGACTCCTTCCATGGTTGACCTCTGCCAACATAAATGCAGGCTGCTGCAAAATGGACTGTCCTGCCCTCCCCTTATCCTTGACCCTCTGCTCCCAATATTGGCTCTATAATTGTGCTGGTGCACAACGCTGAAAAAATGATTTTGTTTGCAAGATGAGCTTTCAGTCCGATCAACAGCCTGATCCAACTCGTATCCCAGCCACATGGCAATGGTAGAGTCTTAAATAAGCCTAGGCTGGCTATTAATACACAATGCTGAGTCACTGCTGAAACACTTTAGTTTACTGTGCACCTTTTCAAAGCAGACTGCTGCTAATTCCAGCCTGAGCAAAATGTGCTATAAATTGCAGTTTTGGGCAATCTAGTGGTGAGTGGCTCAGCCGCTGGTGCCGAGAGGCAAGGTAGGCAGACGGGAGAAATACTTTGGTGGGTGTCTGCAGCTAAGCTGTCACTGCTTGAATATCACCGCCCAAACAGAAATTGGTGGAAATTCAGTCCAGTCAGAGAAAACGGTTTTCAGTTTTCTGTAAAACCTGTAAGAAATATAGGATTCGTAGCAAATCTATGAGACGTACATATGAACGTTTGTGTTCTTACAACAAAGATGACTGATGTCAATAAATGTTTTTTTGTTGTTGTTTTTACTGAAATATTTTAACACGCTGGAGCTCAGATCTGATGACAGTTCCAAACGACTGTAATAACATCATTATTGTTAACTGAAAATTCCTCTAATGTTAGGTAGCATTGTTTTATAGGATAGGAAGGTATTCAGTCATTCCCTACTCATGTTTTATATTGCCAGGTAAAGGCTTCCCTGCTAAAACTCCATGCTTTCATGACAAATGAGCTCAGCCAGTCCTCAGTTTCTGTCCGTGTACTACAGGAATTAAACCGTATGGAATATTCCTGTGGAATATTTAGGTTCATTTAGAAATACAAAGATTCATGTGTACAAATTAGCTTCAGTCTTAATTGATTTAGAATACCTGATTAGACAACACAGCTGAGCCAGTGCAAGTCTTGCTGCTGCTGAGAACACTGGTCCAACCCTCGCTTTTGTCTTCGCTCACTTCTGCCCATATGGTGCTTGTCTGACTCCTTGCTACACCATTGAACTCCTTCCTGGAAGAGATCAAGCCATTCTATCTAGTGTGATGTATGAAACAGGTGCGAGGAACTGTACGTTTTCTTTCTGGAAACTGTATTTCAGCACAAGGGCTGCAGGCCTAATGAGAAAAACTCTGGTGCCAAAAGGTACAAGCTAGATCAATGTGGGTTCATTCGTACTTAGAGTTTACAACAAAAAAGGAGTAGTCTAATTTTACATATGTCTTCCATGATATTTTTTTAGATATTACCACCTGTACACAATGTAATAGTCCTGTGGCAAAAAAAAAAATAAGGCATTTCTAGCACAGATGGCATGATTGAGAGAGCTGTGGTTTTGCATACTTTGAATTTTAGTGGAGTGAGTGGACTTTCTACTCTTAAACTTATGATATCCTGCATTCCAAAATAAAAGATATTAAAAATGCTGTGATGCATGTATACTTGGCACAGGAACAATGACTTATTACTTTGTCTAGCAAAAATCAATGGCCACGGAACCAAAATGTTCTTCACCAGCCAATGATGTTGAACTTGGCTGTGTTTCAGTAATTTTCATAATTGATGATGGAATCGCATGTCTGAAATATGGGTGCTCTGCTTGTGTTTATTCTGACTTACTGGGCTTCTGCAAAACTGGGAAGCCACCTTTGGTACGGTGCCATCCCTTGCAGCCGCCTCGCTGTAAAGCAAGGCACAAAGTGATGCTGTAACTTTGGGGAACAGTTCTGCAGTTCGTGGTGTTAAGAGGGTATCCAACCAGTCTCTCCTGTTTTAAAAACAGCCTTGGGAAGCATGGCTGGAAGCACAGATGTAAAAGTTGCATGGCCAAACTTGGTTCTTGTGCTCAAGAGCTGGAGCAGGCACTCCACACAAGAACCACCCATGTTGTCGTCTGTGCACAGCGGGGCACCTGGCCTGGGCAGTTGCCTTGTGCCTGCTTTGCCTCCGTGTGGGCGAGGGCCCTGGTGTGTCCCAGAGGTGGCCATGTGGGCACAAGTCCCCCACCATGTGGGCAGCCTTTGGGCCTTGGGACCCGAGCAGCAGAGCCACATGCTGGCTGGGCGCTGCCTGAAGGCACATTTTGCATTTCGGGTGGTGAAACGAGCCAGGGCTCAGTGGGCGGCAAGAGTGGAAGCAGAGGGATTTTAGCAGCTTGGTTTTAGCTGCCTCTGCTGACAAACCCGAAGTGGGAACTTTTTTTTTTCCCCCAGCAGTCTTGAGCGTGGCTGAGTCTGAACACATTTTGCATGGGACAGGAAAGGCATCTCCCTGAACCTGGGGCTTTTCGCTGCCAAATTTCACAACACTGCTGCAAAATAGTGAGGTTTCCAAGAATGACAAGAAAGGGGATTACAATGGAAAACAGAAGTGAACTGAACTATAGGGGCATGGCTTCTTGCCCTACATGTGGGGCCAGCCCTTTGTATTTTCAAGTGATTAGCCATTTTGAATATCCGGAGCTGTGCACCTTAAAGAGTGCTCAGCAGTTTTGGCAGTCTGGTCCCCTAGCAAATTATTGGAGAGAGGTTACTTGCAGCTGTGTCACTCACAGAAATTACATCAGGTATGTATGTGCATACAGGTGCACGTACATGTGTGTTTCTGCCAACTGCACATTAAGATTGTTTTCTTCCACTTCTCACACCGAGATTGAGTTGTTTTTAAAAACAAGTCTGAGGCAATGCCTGAGACCCAATGGCTCTGTAAAAGCCAATTTTTTTTATTTTTTTTTTCCTAATGGTAGTTAATTTGGGTAATGCACGCACATAAGGAAGCAGCATTATTTCAGGGATCTCCACGGTTTTGCAGGGCCGCAGGGTGAAGCCAGCCGAGAGGGTAAGGCAGAGAGCTACAGCATATCGATTTGTCTGCATCCAGGCCTCCCCAGCCTCCCCCCGGCCCCATCTGCTGCCGCGGCGTGACTCATATCAGGCAAGTGCAAAAATGGCTGTGGTCGCTACCTGTTTGTGGGTGATTGGCTGTTTTTCCCCTCCGAGTGCTGCAGGCACGGAAGAGAGCAGCAGCGTATCAAGCACTTCAATCTGGTTTGCCGAGTGTAACAGCTTAAGAGAAAATGGCTGCCTTGTTTTCCAGAGCTGTCCTAGGGATGACCACGCAAGAGAAAATGAGGATCTGAGCATGAGAAATCTCTAAGTAGTTTCCCGGGCCATTTAGCATTTCTAAATACACGATGAAGGATCCTTTTTCTTTCCAGGTAGCTGCATGACTTCAGTCCTTTAAGATTTACCATTCAGCACGGTGCTTCGGGCTGGTCTGCCTGAAGGATGGCTGGCTCTGCTTACAGGCAGCAAAGGAGCTGCTCCAAACTGTCATAAATACTCCTTGGGAGCCTGCTTGATGCATGTGCCTGCGTGCGTGTGTGCGTGCGTGTGTAGATACGCATACATACATGCATATATATAGGAGGTGAGATTTTAGGCTTGAAATTTGTCATCCAAGGTGTTGGTTCTGTACTCACTCACTTCTGACTGGTTATATTAATGAAGTGTTGTTTTCTAAAGTATACAGTGCTTTTCTCCCTAAAAATGGCTTTCTTCATTTTCTCACCTTTTGAGTAACACGGCATTATAAGCAGACATTATGTGACGGGAAATAGAAATGCATATAACCGTTACACTGCAGCATCTCTAGGCCAAGAAGTTTTTAATATTAATGCAGAAATGATCTGCACAAAACAATTCCCTCTGAATAACCTGCTACAGAATTGTCGTCTGTTTAAGTGCATTGTGGCATTTTTTAGGTACGATAATATTTTTTTTAACCAAATTGTGCTACTGTTTTGCAGCGGTAGGTGGTTACCTTCCATTCTTCAAAGGATTCCAAAATGCTTTAGTGAATTAATGCTCTCAGCATCCTTTTGAGAAAGGCAGAAATGTTATACAGACTTCTAAATTCTAGGAGAGCTGGAAAATAACTTAGTTGAAATATCATGGGAAGCCTTTCGAAAAGAGTGAGTAGGTTATCTGACATTTGGACCTTTAATGTAAGTGACTGTCTCACAGTCTGGTAGATTTAGCTGTGGTGGTTTGAGATGTGACAATTATCTGCTGTACCCATCTGCAGGGCTTAATCCTTCATCGACTGCTCTGGCAAATGTGAGCTGGCCTGTGGGCTGGAGTGGGAGCACTGGGGCCCTGTGCTCGTGTAGCCCCTCTGCCTCGTAGGTGGTGTGGTGGGGCTCTTGGGCCTGAAAATGCCAGAACGGTTCAGCAGCCAGGCTCGTGACCATCCTCATCTCTTTAGAGTGTAATAGGGGAGAGGAAAAAAAGAAAAGGGGAAAAAAAACGAGTCGGGTATGTAGCCTTTAAATGTGGGCTTCCCTACCAACTTCCAAGTGGTGCTTTTAAAAGTGTTGATTTCAGGTTACTAATAGCAATATCAATATTGTGGCACTGATGTATGTAGATTTCTGCAGACTCGTTTCTTCCCTTGAGTAGGCTTTTCCTCTCCTTCCTGTCATCTCTTTAACACAATAGCACAATAAGCCTTTTCTGCAGAACCGGTGTTGCTTTTGAGCATAATCACGTCCTGTGCAGTCCTCATCAGTTGAAAGCAGAAGGGTAGCATACCCCTTCATTTTGCAATGGAGAGCTGTAGAGAGGGAGAGAGGTTTTGCCCCCCTTTTTCTTAAATTGACAGCACTGCAAAATCTCTGCTAGAGCACCTCCAATTCTGTGAATGCTACACTGCACATCAGTGCACTAGAAAGCACTAGGAAGCACTAGAGTGCAAATGTAGCTGATTCCCAAAGACTGGCTGTGCTGCTTCAGTGTCACTGCAAGCCCAGGGACCAGTTTGGAAAACTCTTTAGAGAGATCACTGCAGCTGTGCTGGTATCAAAGATAAGATGTGTTTCTGTGAATCAAACACCTACTTTATATTTTCTAGAGATGTGTAGATAACCTTTCTTGTATTGGGAAAAAAGTGCTTTATCAAGGAACTATACATTCACTTTGTGTGTATATCAAAGGAATAGGAGGTAAACTAATTTGGAAGAGATATTGTGTTGTTGTTGTTTTTTTATGTATTTTTCTATCACTGTCATTTCTTTTTTCTAATTGTTGCCTTTGGAAAAGGGGAGAGGAACACCTGGAGCAGAGGAGGTAAAAATGAAACTGGAAAGTAAACTTCAGTTTTTGTTCTGAAAAACCCTTTGGAAGGAATACCTGTTTCATACTGCTATGCCAGCATGGAAGCTGGCAGCGCGGCTCCTTCCCTCTGAGCAAGGCTCCACCGCAGTGCTTTGTGGAGTAGACTGGCTGTGCCACTGCCTGCTTTCATTACAGCCCTGGCTTTGGGTAGGTCTGTGACAATATGAATTCAGGCAGAGAGCGACAGTCTCATCAGGTGTTGTCAACTCTTAGAGATACCCGCTTCAAAACAAAGAACAAATTATTGTATTGAAAATGATGATTGATGTTTGTTCATTGGCCGTAACAGCACTGCACTGTGTGGGGTGATGTACAGAAGCACAAGTTAGTGTGGTTAGCAAAGCAGTGCAGCTTCTTCAGGGCTATGCTTTACCTGGGCCAACTATATTTTAATACAGGAAAAATTAAACAATGTGGGACGTGCTGTGTCCTGCAGTACTCAGGCTAATAGGAACATCTCCCATGCAGCATGGCCTGGAGATACACCCATTGTTTTATTTCCATCTCCCAGAATACATCTATCCTGTGTTGATTTTATTCTTGGATTATAACTTGTGAGGCAAGGATTATCATGTCTCTTTTTTATTTTTATTTTTTCTGGATTTTAATAATTTAGTATTTTTAACTTACAGTCTTACATACAAGATACAGGCAGCAGCATAATACAAATAACTCTACATTATTATTCATCAAGGCTTCCTGTCCTTTGTTATATCATGTAAACAACTGTCTGGATTGGATGTTTCTGAGTTTCTCTTAACTGGTAGTTCTCACTAACAATTCACCAGTGTATAATTCTACAGAGAAGAATAGATAATTAAGGTCAGGCTAGGAGCTTTTATTTGTCTTTTAAAAAATTGTTGCCGAAATACGGTTTGAGAATTAGGCTCATCTAAGTGAATTCCAAATAGGTAAACAAAAAATAGAAAACTTATGAGAGAATTATATTGATGTTCTATCCTGCCACATAAATAAATTTTTCAGTGGGTTAATAATGTGGAGCTGATTTGGAAAGATCTTTGCTGTTATTTTTGTTACACTGTGTGGATGTTAGGCTGTGGATGTTAGGCCCTGAACCTGACCTCCTGTAAAATGTTTACAATTTCGTGTTTTCTGTGTTCTAAAAGTGGAGCAGCATCCATAGTCTCTTGTTCTTGTAGAAGTTCTCCTTTTTGACACAGTGAAACCAGAAACCAGCCTTTTGCTTTGCAGGGCTGACGTGCTTGATGCTTTATTTTTCAATTTCATCAATAAGAGACTTTTCCCAAATTGTAATGGTGCTCCGTTAACATAATGAAGTTAGTTCTTATTCACACCAAAAAATCTGGTAAAGTCTCTCCACTGATTCTAGTGGGGTTATGTAAATGAGTAAAATGATTTATATTAATAGCTTTAATTTCTCAGCTTTTTATTGTAGGTTTTCTTGAAGTAGAATATTTATTTACAGCACTGCTTCAGGATGCATTGAGCCTCCCTGTCTGCTATACACCCCTTTGGCTTCTGACTTAGCTGGGCTTTGAAGCGACAGGATGCTGTGCATGTTCTGGTTTCCACAGAGTGGGGACAAGAGAAAAATAAAACTTTTCTTCGGGACTTTTTAACCCTCTTAAAGAATATGCTATGTCTGTGTCTTCACAGTCAGGATCCGTTTGCATGCCCACCCAGATACAAAACAAGTATATTCAATATACAAGGATTTGTTGAAAAGCGAGCCTGTAAGCACAGTGTTGCAGCCTCCCATCAGGGAGGAAATGTCTCTGTCCTCTCTCCTTTCTGTAGCATTTGGCACAGCTTCTGGGGATCAGCAGTGGGTGTTTAAATGAGAGAGTCCAAAGAGTTCTCAGAGGACCGAAAGTCACAAGGATGCTGACAGCTCCAACGCCGAACAGAACTTTCCACACAAATAGATTTTCTTGCTGACATTACCAAGTAAATTCCATATCAGTCCTTGGATTCACAGTGATACACAAAGCCTAAACAGTCTGCAAATGGATTTTCTTCTATTGCAGAAAGCGGTTCTAGATGGAGAACCCCAGAGACAGAGCTTGCTTTCAGGCTTGAGCTCTCCTGTCTTTAAGCAGATGGAAACAACAACAAAATAACAAAGCACGTGTGGTTTTGTTTATTTGTTTTCTCTCTTTCAGTCATGGGCTTTTCAGTTGCTCTTCACTTAGTGTTGCATTTCTCAGCCTAGCTTTCGAGGCCGGCAGCCCATCCCCAGCAGCATGTTGCTGCCCTGTTCAGCTGTTTGCTGTCCCCTGAGAGCGGGGTTGCCCTTTCTGCGGTGGTCAGCTCCAGGTGCCGCTGCTGAGGAGGACTGCAAAGGGAAAAGGGTAAATGGGCCTCCTCTGGGCCAGAAAAATGCTAGCAGAGGCTCTATCTGCCAGACTCTGGGAGCTTCTGTCATCGAAGCCAGTGCCATTTGGGAAGATGGGGCCCTTAATGACGCAGATACACTGTCTATGCATAAGCATGGTATCTCTGCTGGGCCAGAAGCAGCTTTCTAATGGACACAGGTCCTCAGATCTGAAGATCTGTCCTACTTTAGGAAGTCTGGCCACCAGAACTTAAGCTAAGGTGGATATATTATTCTTCCCTGCCTGCCCATTTTGGCAGCGAAGTACTGTTTGGCTTCCATCCTTTGCTTTGGTGGAAGCTACTTTGCACTGCTGATAGCAGTCTGAGGCTAAAGGTTGTTTCTTAATGCCTTTTGGCCCCCAAAGCATATCCACATGAGCAATGTGCCATTAACTGCAGGTAGCAAAGGCTTTTTGGCTTGGATGGCTGTGGTTTGAGAGGGTTAGGCATAATTATATTGTTTGTGACATGTACAAAAAAGTTGATTTTGAAAGATGGCAAATCTATTCTAAGGAAAAGGGGGCCACTTACATTGTAACATTGCAAGGTACTTTTTTAATGTGTACTCTTGAGGGAGGCTTTCTTTGTTTGTTGTTACTTCTGTTAGCCCTGAAACCATGAGGAAATAAAATTGAAACTGTATTTTTTCTGGAGCATAGAGTTTAAGCCAAGGACAGGTGAGGAAGTTATTGTGGGCTAACAAGTTACTTCATGTCTAGGGAAGAACACTAAGTTAATTTGCACTACTTCTTGTGTGTCTGAAATGTCTGCACAGATACAGCACTCTGTTCATAACAGTAGTAAGTTATAGGATGTCTACAGGACCAGTT